TATTACGTGGATTCTTTGAAGGGGAGAATATGAAATATGGTCTTTGTTACTTGAAAACTCACATCCATGTTACTCTTTATCCAAATTAGTGTTTCAGTCAAAGTATTGTTCTTTATTCGTGAAATGTATGGCCTTCTTGATCCTCTAATCGACAAATTTGACCCTCTTCTACATGATTCGTGAGTAGGGAATTGACTCGAGACTTCTATGTCGGGCCGCAATTCGAGATCATTTTTTTAAATTTTTTCTTGTTTGGACTTTACCTTATTAAAATGAAACTCTCACTCAGTAGTTTTTGATTCTCGATTGTGTATAATCTATGCTCTTCTCGACTACCTATTTGACCAACTCGACCATTAACTTCACCTACTGGCTACTATTCATCTAATTCAATCAAGTCAACTTAATGCAAACTTGGTGCATGTATATATTTTGTTTTTCTTTATCTCCATCTTTTTTATTTAGTCTCTATTTGTTTGATGGAGATTAAAATCAATTTTTTAGTAAATTTTGATAAAAGTTGATGATATGTTTAGTTGAAAAGTTATAGAACTCATAAAATATTAAAATTAATTGTTGATTTTAACTTAAATTAAAATCTTGATTTTTAATTGTACAAAATAGGGCTGTCCGTGGGTCGGTTCGGTTCTGAAGAGACCCGAACCGACCCAAAACTTTGGGTATTTAATAGAGGAAATTACATAGTACCAGGGGTTTGAAGTTTGGGGACCAAGTTTCATTCTTCAAAAATCAGTTGATATATAAAGACCTAACTCTAATTTTACACTCTCTACCCCTCGCCTCCCCTCTCTCTCCTCTCCCCTCCCCTCTCCTCTCTCATCCGTCTCTCCCCCTCCACCTCCTCCTCCCCATTCCCCCGTTCGCCGTCCCCCTCCCCCTTCCCCTGCTGCTGTGAATCGAGAATCGCAGTAGCGTCAAATTGCAGGAATCGCAGTAGTGTGGGGGCAGCGGCGCTAGGGGAGGTGTGGGAGCGGCTTGGACTTTAGATTTGAGAGGTTGTTGGTGAATCAACGGCGGCGGATGGGTTCGTGGTGGTGGATTGGAGAGGTGGGTTGCTGTCGAGATACAAATGGTTGATGTTGTGGGTTTTGAAGGAATCTGATGGGGTGTAAAGAAAATCCTCAAAATTTGATGTTGGTCGTTGCACAAGAAGGCGAGGGGTGGTGTTATGGCGTGTCGGTTGGATGTATGTGTTGCTGCAAAGGATGAAATAGATGTATTTGGGCGTAGGCGGTGGTTGACGGCAGGTGTAAAGGTTGTTTGCAGGCAGTATGTGTTCTGTGTCGGTAGGAGGCAGTGGTGGCTTATGGTTGATGTCGACGGCTGGAACCGTAGGAGACAACTGGTGGTTGTTTAGCAGTGTTTGGGTGTTCGTTGGAGGGGATGAAGGGTCTGTGGCTTATGGTTGATGTCGGCGGCTGGAACCGTATGAGACAACTTGTGGTTGTTTAGCAGTGTTTGGGTGTTCGTTGGAGGGGATGAAGGGTCTGTGACCAATTATTTGGTCGATCTGTGACCAAGTATTGGTGGTAGCATCGGTAGTTGTGACCAAATGGTAATCTGTGACCAAATATTTTGTAATATGTGACCAATTACTCAATTGTGACCTAAAAATTTAATAATGCGTGACTTAAAAATAATCTGTGACCAACTAATTTAAAAATGTGACCTCGAAATAATATGTGACCTACAAAATTTTTGATCTGTGACCTCGAAATAATTTGTGATCGATTAATTTTAATATATGTGACCTGTGACCTAAAAGTATGCATATGTGACCATTAGTTATATAACAGTGATTTTATTATATTTAATTAATAAATGTATTTAATTAATTAATTAAAATCTGATTTTTGCATTTGTCAAACTTAAAATCTGATTTTTGAATTTGGGTAAACCATACACCTTAAATATGATTTTTTCCCTTATTCTTATATATTCATCACGCTCTAAGCCATTGGGCTACATTAAAATTAGGTAATTTTAAAGAAAAATATATTTTGAAAATAATTTTTTGGATAATGTATAATTAAAAAAGAAGAAATTTTGGATTGTATAATTGAGAAAAAGAAAAAAGTTTTGAGTTTATATGTAATATTATTTTATTGAAAAATATGTAGTTGGAAATAAGAAAGAGAAAAATGCATTAAAATTAATAGGGGCTAAATCTATCCTTACTAATTTTTTTTTTTAAAAAAGTAATATATTCATCAACATTAAATTCCAACATTATCTTTATTGAATTAAATCATTTAAATAGGAGTGAGCGCTATCTAATCCGATCCAATTCTAAATGGAACCAAACCGACTACTAATGAAAATATTAGAAATTGAACAATTGGTTCGATATCTATCTATAGAATCAAATTAGAACCGAACTAACCAATTTCAATTTGGTCTATTTCGATTTTTTATATTAAAAAAATATTTAAAAAATTATGAAATTACTTGTCAAATTAAAAATAGACAAAAATAGAGTACTAAATTACTCGTCATTCTTGTAATCTAGCAATATAAAAAATCTATTAAACATAGCAACAAACAAAAACCTACTCTAAAGCTCAAGATCAACATTAAAGATCTTAATCTTTAATCATTATTTCACTTATGTCCCTAACAGTTCTTTATGTAATTTTTATCCTTAAATTTTTTATATTAGTTAACACATTTTCTATTATATCCAAAAGTTAATTGAATGGAGTAAAACAACTAGTTTTTTCATCAATTTTTTTTTTAAAAAAATTAATAAATAAAAAGTGTGAAAAAATATTTTTCGCTCATTTAAAGTATGAAAACAAAATATTTTGATATAAATCATCATCATCATGACAAGACGTATTAATTAATGAAATGTTGAAGATAAGAATTCAACGAAAAAAACTTAAGAAAATAATTGTTACAATAAGTAAAGATTGAAAAACTTAACTGCAATTAAAATGTGGCATAATGAATAAAAATTGTGATGCTAATATGATTACCTTCATATCATAAAAAATGGATTAGTGATTAGAGTTTCATCTATATTAAAATAGCCTTTTCAAATTTGATATTTAATAACATAAATTACAATTTTTTTTCTTACAACTTTTCCTCAACATTTCATGTCATACTTCCGAAAAAATAGCATTTTCACAGAATGAGAAATAGGGAAAAAAAAAGATAAAATTGGAAAAAAAAAAAAAAGGGAGAAGAAATTAAAGTAAGCCAAAATGATATAAATCTTGAATAAGAATCTACAATGCACTAGAATGTACTTGTTTACGATCCTTTGATCCTGCAACAACTAGGGTGCCACGATGAACTTGATATCTTACACGTTGTGAATCATTAACCTTGCGACCTCTTACTAAAATTGAATTGCCAAAATATGAAATCGGAAATTACCTTTTTGCGAGTGGAACTTCTAACAAATAACAACTATTCAAAGATGATAAAATTTACTACATACTTCAAACTACCGAAATACAAATCAAACTAAGTCTTTCTAATCATCACTCATAGTCATTATCTTTATTCTATATCTTTATTTTCCATCGATCATTTTTCGTTTCTATTTCCGTACAACATAGTCGATATCACGAATTTTTGTCCATCTTGAGTTTCCATTTATCTTAAGCTCGTGTATGGGAAATTCCGTTTTGATCCTCGAGTCTCTTTTCTTGCTCCTTAATATAGTTGTACATTTCCTTGTGGAAAGTATGGTCCAAGGAAAAACAATTACCATCTGTTCCATGCGTAGGATGCCGAGATGATCCTGGCCATTCTTTTCGACAAAAATGTGGGAGAGATTCATAATCCATAATCTTCAACAATTCATCTCTCCCAGATCCTGAAAGGATCTTGACCTTCTTCCTCGTTCTCTCGAACATAAGAGGATTCACAACCTTCCAACCAATCGAAAACATGTATGGCGCGTTAACTATGAAATAAGTCTCCGTCCTCTCTGGATAGTTAAGTTCATTAACGGTTGACATTTCGGAATACTTCTTAATGATTTGATAGATTGAAGAAAGCTTTAGACCAGTCATGTCAAAAATCACTATGCAAGTGCCTACGTATCGTCCCAATCTTTTCGTCGCACAAGGTAAAATCACGCGATCTCGATATTCATTAATTTGAATGTGTGACAGGACATAGTACTCAATCGATGTTTCGTCTGATGTACTGAGCCCTGCACCCACGGCAAATACGGGATAGCCGTCTTTTGAATATCCGGACATCCCTACAAGTTGTGAATCGCGGATTAATCTATGAAATTCGACGGGGATGATTGGCTTAGCCAATATGTCATCAATTTTATTTTCTATCCTCCAGTTCAAGCAGTCGATGAGCATTTCATAGGCCTTAGAGACATTCCCATCTCGTGCTTTGAGAAACCTCACCAAATTCTCAGTCGGGTACCCTTGATGTATATTCTCGAAAGACGTCTTCAATTTTTCATCGAATTTTTCCACCATACTTTCGAACTGCTTGATCATTTCTTCAGTAATCAACACCATTTTCTTTCAGAAATTACTATACAGATTCAGACCCTCATATTTGAATTCCAATTCTCCTTATAAAAGATTAATTGAAATATACATTGACACCTATGCATTTGTACATTAAAGAAAATACCCATGATTTTCTACACAAAAATATAATATAATTTAATTTACTTAAGATATAGAGCATTAATGTAAATTAATTGTTATATATGGTCCAAATAATTACACAATATTGCAAATAAATCCGCCTAATATTCTTTTTAATAAATTAAAGTGGTTTTCGTACCCATTTATAGCATATTTAAGCATGCTGTCCATTCAATCCATCAAAATTTACGTGCTTAGATTGTACATTCCATCAGAGTGAAAATAGGTATTAAAATGTTTATTACATTAAATAAAATCTAATCAATTTTCCCCATTTTTGATTTTAATATAAACTATAAACTAATGATAATAGAGTAATACTTCTAAATCTAGGTTTCTAAACTTGGGGTATGTTAGGTCTTCATTTAATTGGCGTATTCCATCATATTCCATGTAAAAAACTAAGGTAATTGAGTTGTAAATAAGAGTCAAAGTCGTCGGGGGTTGGTAGAGACCTAAAAGGTGTCGAAGATAATTCAAGAGGATCAAGAAACGAGATCCATCGATCGCTGAACACGCACGTGGCTCTCGAGCGTTGATAACAGGAAGAATACCGCTCACTAGGCGCGACCTTGGCACTCAAGTGATGGGCTTGCCGCTTGCTAGCCACCAGTTTTCTTATCTGATTCAACTACTCCATGAAAAAAAACGTTAGATGTGGATTTCAACCTAATCTCATTCTCTATGAATACAAAAGATCAGCCGACTTTGAAGAGGACCTCTCATAGACTCATACCATACACTAAGGTTAATAATCTCAATAATCGCTGAATTTTGCTTAAAGTTTTCGCTGGATCTTTGAACATCAAAAACTACGGTTCTAACCACTGAACTTTGAAATCTGTAATTCCATCCATCACCGATTAAATGGCTATTAGAAAAACCGACGGAATCGCTGACGTAGCTAACAAAATAGCTCATGTGGCACGTTTGTGTGATCAGTTGATGCCAATTGCCATGTAGTTGCTATTGACGAGGAATAGTTGATTTCAATAAACACGTTTTTAAATTTAAAAATAAATAAATAGATAAATTTTGAAAACTCCCGAAACTGAACGAGACATCTCCTGCCTAAACCATCTCATCCCCCAAAATTGAAAGACAACACTGCTTCCATTACCGGTTGAAACCCAGTGAATCGTCGTCACCAAAGCTGTAAATCGCCACTTCTAACCTAGAAATCGCCTACCCCAAACTCGATCTCGCCTCCTCCCCACCCAAATCGCTGAAGTTTTAAAACTAGCGCCTCCAAAGAAAGCAAGAGCATGCTTCTTTGTTTCGTGCCCCTTCATCTCAGTCATTTGTTGTGTAGGACGACAAATAGTTTCATTGGCAACATTTACAATCCCAGTGAAATATCTTCCACTATCATATCTTTCGCAATTGGATCCTGGAGGGGAATGCATTTCAACATTTTAGTAAAAATGCCTTCGTTCATTTTTACTTGGACCCCAAAAGCATCTCGAGAGGTCTCGAATAGTTAATCAAGACTTTAGGAGCTTCTCAACAGCTAACAAGCTATTCAGAGGGTTTGGGGGTTGGAAAAATCTTGCCGAAATTCACAAGAAAAATGGATTTTAAAGCTGATCAAATACCATAAGATCCATGAATGGATTCCACTAAAAGGAGTTTAAGAGTCCTCAATTCATATTTTAATGGCTACTTTAAGATTTGTAAATTCTCGTTGATTTCATTGATTTGAATAGAATACCAAAGAATATAGATTTTGTCGTGGAAGCTGGCTTCAAAGATCTTCTAAATGGTCTTTTCCGAGCTCAGTTTTACATTGTCTTTCTTTACCAAACTACCAATTCAAACGGCTCCAACTCACAACCAATATTTATCTCAGTTGCTTTTTAATCGCAACAAAGGATAAGATTACGGTGTTGATTTGTAAACCACAAAGGCAAGAAATAAACCAATGAAAAGAAGGCACAAGAGGAAACCAACAACACAAAGTTAATCACCGATTTTGGAAGCACTAGGGCAGCCGATTTTTCACTCCCAATGCACACACATTTTTTCTTCCTTTCACACAAAATCACACACAAATGGCTAGGGCAAAGGCAACATATATATATATATATATATAGGAGTAGGTTATGCTTTAATTGAACCAATAATAGGGGTTAAATGGGCCAAGATTTAAAGTCATTCAATAGGGAAATATATATGGGCCGCGAGTAATATTAATTTTTTAAACTATTTCCAACGGTCCATATTATTTTTGGGTCGAGCCGTTGGACTTGGTTGTTGGTAACAATTTCACTCACTGACCAATGTCTATAAAATTCAATTTGACGTTTACATCATAACCCGAGATTCATTAGGTATCAAAATCCAACAAATTTTCACATTGATACCAAATCAACCAGCAAACAATCAAAATAAAAAGTTAATACCCGCATCATCAAGGCAATCAATAAAAGTGGGATCGCAGACCTTGCCTTGTGTTTCGGACCCGAAACACACACCATACCTGTTCCATGTACTCACTAGGGCTAAGGTCAAATAAATACTCAAGTAGAAGTAGATAATCACAGTAAACAATCAAGAGCAAATAATTATGCGATAAAGATTAACATAGGATAACACTCAAGACCTTTTCAAAAACATATTGACACAGAACAACATATTAACACCAATTTAATCAACAAATGGTAAAAACATATATAACAAATGCATAAATGACCCCATGAAAAGATCTCACCACACTTATCCTATCTCATTATGTGCTACTCACATCTCGAGAACACGTATCTCCTCTCATAGCCCACAATGCTCACTAAACTGATTAATCAACTCATGTCTAACTAGTAAACCACAATAGATTCTAAGTCAATGGGATAATCCTCTATCACAATATCACTTCTCCCGACCTAAGTGGATAATAGATCACCACCTAACAGAAGTGATAAAAGTGTCCATCTCACACTCTACCCATACAGGGTCTTCACAGATAAATGATTCCAATATTTAATCACATCTCCACTCGTTATCCAAATGTCACACACCACATCCTCGGTACCAACCATTAATGTACTCTTAGACATCTATATTCCACTTTACCAAAAGATACTTAACACACTTACCGCTAATGCATCACAACCCACTATGGATGCAAGACACATTATACCAAATAATCACATTGCTATCAAATTCATACAAATGCACATATCAAACACATTAAAATGCAACATAATTAAACAATCAAACACATGCAAAAAAGATTACACACAGATGCACTTGCAGTAACTATGTTTACTCTCAATAAATTTCACTGGGGTCATCACTTGACTCTAGAGCCACATTTGTTTCGCCTATTATCTTACCATTATGCTTATCCTTCTTCTTGGGACATCCCTCACAAAGTTTTCAGACTTACCATAGCTGTAACGCCACTTACCATCAGGCTTGTCCCAACCCTTGTCCTTCTTCTTACCACCCTCATCACTCGAATCACTAATGTCTTGAGTTCTACCCAAATTCATTTACTTAAACTTCATTCTACTGCTCATCATACGTAACTCATCACTCATTATATCTCCCTTTTCAACCTTAATCTCCATCTTTACTTCTAAGAGAATGAATGGCAATTTTAGGTGTTAAGGTGTCCCTACCATAATCACATTCTTAACCTCTCTATACAATTCAGGCATAGAATTCAGCAAACAAACAATCCAAATGGCTCCAACTTACAACCAATATTTACCTCGATTGATTCTCAACTCACCCACAAAAAACAAGATTATAGTATTGATATGTAAGCCACAAAGGCAAGAAGAAAAACCAATGAAAAGAAGGCACAAGATGAGACCAATAACACAAAATTAATCATCGATTTTGGAAGCACTAAGGCAGTCGATTTCACTCCCAATGCACACATACTTGTTTCCGAGTTGAACGTGAATTGCACGTTATTCTAAAATAATTTATAAATCTTGTAAAAATGATATTTGATATCAGTTTATTGGAAGGATTTGATGAATCTCAAACGAACTAAAAAATATATATGATAGAAATTTAAGAAAATAAAATTGTACTTTCAAAACCCAACTTCCATATTTCAATTTTTTTGTGAGGCAAAATACTACAAATGAGCAATATTTTTATACTGCATTTGGCACATAAAAATTAATTGCTAATGCATGAATTTAAACGCCTTTTTAAAATTTTTAGATACATGAACAAAGAAAAATTCATTTATAATAACCTTAAATTTATGTAAATAAAAAGAGTAATGCTAATCATCTCACTGAGATTACAAATACAGTTTAGGTGGCGTTAATGTGACATTAAATGATATGTGAAATTAAATAAGTCATTTAATTTTACCTTTCATTTAACATATCATTTAGAACCACCTAAACTGTGTTTAAAATCCAATGGGGATGAATAACATTACTCAAATAAAAATTCATCAAGTTAAGATTCATTAAATTTAGATTAATGTGAATGTTAATTAATTGAGAATTAATAACACGAAAATCATACATCACAAGGATTTTGTAGTATTTATTACGTATTGAAAAACGAAGAGTAAGGTATTATTGAAATAATTGAATTGTAGTAGGGTTAAATCGTCAAAAAATGATTCTCTCTCTCACACTCTCTCTCTCTCTCTCACACACACACACACACACATATAGAGGAGTAGGTTGGGCTTTACTTTGTTTGACCAATAATTTGGTTAAATGGGCCAAAATTTAAAGCAATTCAATAGGTAAATATATATGGGCCATAAGTAATATTAATTTCTTAAACTACTTTTAATGATCCATATTATTTTAGAGATCGAGCATTTGGGTTTGATTGTTGGTAACAATTTCACTCATCGATCAATGCCTATGATATTCAATCTGACATTTACATCATAGCACATGATTCAGTGGGTATCAAAACCCAATAGATTTTCATTGATTTGAAAGTTAAAACTAACTTTTTATGGTACATTAACTTATTTTAAGTGCACATGAATATATTGTACTCTTATTTAAACAGGTTATTTAATTTGTATTCTGCCATTGCCTATATATTAGAAAGATAACATTTAATTTTTTACTTTTTTTTTTTTTTGAATAAGCTGTCCAAATTGTTGGAATGATTGAAATTATTTATTGTGTGAATTGGAATATGTTTTTAATAGGTGTCCCTTCAATTGTAAAGAGTCATGTTGCTTAAAATGGGTGTGACTATTCTTTCAACAAGTCACTTGAAAATCTATAAATAGAGACCTTTAGTTCCATTTTTTCTTACACTAAATCAATTCGAATTATTATTGATTTTTAATTCTCTCATATCTTCGAAAATTCAATTCATTTTATTTTGTTGAAATAAAATTCTGTTCGAATAATTTTCAAAAATAAAATTTTGTTCGAATTTTTAATTCGTGTCTATTCATTTCAAGAAGAATATTGTCTATACTTTGGTTCGATCGAAAAAATTAATGGTATAATATATTAATTTTGGAAGAAGCGTTGTATTTTGGGAGATTGACATCCATTTGATTTTGTTAGCAGCAGTGCAGTGGGCGAAATCCATCTTAAGGAGATTTGCATTCGCACGTCTCACTTCATTTTATTTCCTTCAATTTCCGTATTTTCTATGTTTGAGTAAGTAGTGATTTATTCATTATTATGCATGTACTATAATTCGGTAAGTTGTTACTCTAATATTTGCATGCATATATTTTTGCATAATTCGTTGATATATTGCATGAATTAATTTTGTTTTATAAGCTTATTTGAAAGTGCTTACTTCAATCGATACATGTATTAGGTTGTATTCATGGAAAGATATATGTTTCATATTCCACAATTAAATTCACGTGTAAAAGAAATTTTTTGATTTTTGTAAAAGAAAGTATGAACTTTTCAGACATTGATTCCATGAAAGCGAAGAAGTATTTTTGCAGCCACATTTTTATATTCATTTTGTTAAGCACTGATTGCATGATCGTTGGCCTATGCACGTAATATAAATATAGAAGGCTGGCAAGGCACAAAGCTATCCTTTACCAGACTATTGGAAATATGCCATTCTGTTAGAGAGAAGTTGGTCTAGTTGGTATCAAGCCCACCCATCATCATATGTTCTCCAATTTCGTGAATTGTTCAAGAACGCGTCAATATCAATCTCTTGTAGTTGCACTTTTATGAAAAAAGAACCCTGCAACAATCACTTGTTACCTTGTGATGGTACCTAAGTCGTTGATTGAGTTGCAATGAATAAAAGTGACTTTTCATTTTATGGATTAGTCATCTTATAAATATGAAAGTGCGTGAATTTTCATGTGACATTGACATTCCTAATCATTTTATCGGATGACTAGAGGGGGAATGAGATTATTTATCCATTTGATAGACATAATTAACGATACAATAATCATTTTATCGGATGACTAGAGGTGGAATGAGATTATTTATCCATTTGATAGACATAATTAACGATACAATCGAACTTGAAAAGAGTAAATGAATATTATGTTCCCAAGCTCGGTCTTACCTAGAATTGTGGGGATATAATTGTTTGCATAATATTCTCAATTAAAATTTGGATACATCCCAAATTTTTGGGGAATGGCATTATTTTCTTCAAATTAGAACATTGAGATGTTTGAAAAATATTCGAAATGATAAACTACACTATAGTGAATACCTTGTTAAACTTTAGATGTGCACGATTTTGAAATTTGGATATCCAATGCAAGGATTCAAAATCTACTAAATATGTTTTACTATTGAAAGTGTAATTATTTTGTGAAAAATCCTTGAAAATTGAAATAAATTAGAGATTTCAATAAAGTTAGAATGACGCACGACGACTTCAAAGATTTTGGAAGGATTTTCTGATTAGTAACAATTTGTGCTTGTTATATGATTTAATCTGGATTGCTAGCTACAAATCACATGGCACAAAATGTAGTATATAATGGTAAGTCTTGACATTTGCCATAGACATAATACTATTTGACAGTTGCTCTCAAATTAAACAATGCTAGTTGTTTTATTGAAGGATAACCTAATGGATCCTTTTATAAATGAGTTATCCAGAGAGAATAAATTGTGCATTAAGGAAAATGGATGCAAAACATAAACTAATGGGTTAGTTCACTTAGCGACTGGAGATCCCACTGATTAGGTTTAATAGGAAAACTAGTTATGATTGACTTGATGAGAAGCACTTCAGAGTTTTAACTCCTCCCCATTCTATGATGCAAATAAGTGTAGCGTACAAAAGATTGGTTAGGATAAGTTATACTTTTAATGATAACTATATCTTGTAAGTACAAGTAGAGTATTGTATGATACTCTTTATAGAACATCACCTATATGATTGCAAACTTGGCCGATTCAAATGAGGATTTTACTTAGGCGAAGATAATATTTCGCAACTATTCCTACATTTCCAAGAGTTAAACTAAAATTAACTATGGCATTCTTGGTTGCACAGATGGTGATATCACTCGATTCAATTTGTCATCCCTATACGATTAGAAATCCCTCTTAAAAAAGGGAAAGAATTTGATTTTTATGGGCGAGACAGAATGGGTTGGCACTACTAATCAAAGGGAAAATTACACAAAATCTTACCATTAAACTTTCAAATTCAAACATAAGGTATAAAACTATTTTTTTTCAAGAATCGGGAGACAAATTAAATTTATAATAGTTATAAAATTAAATATATCTAACCCATATACTATCCACCCACAACAATTTCAAATTCAAACCCTAATATCTCTCTTCTCCCTATCCCTCTCCCTTATCTCCTCCCTCTCTCACCATCAACGGAGGACCATCGCTCTGCCAAGAGAGCTTGTCGGCAGAAGAGCACCACAATGCTCACGGCCATGCTGTCGTGCCCAACGTCGCCTGCAAGTAGCGCTGCTGCATACAGCGGCCATGGCATAGCTCTGTCTGCAGGAAACTCTGGTCGACGCTGTGTAGCAAGCATGTGTGCATCGTTGTGTATAGAGATGGAGTTGCCTAGATCTATACACATCGCACAGAGCTGATCTGTAGCTGCTACAACTCCAGTCGCGGTCAGATCCAAATCTACGTGTATAGAGATGTGTCACGTGGTGGTGGTGGAAGCGCTACGTTGGTGTTGATGGTGGTGACGCCGTGAGAAAGTGGCTACGGATTTGTGTTTATTTCATGATAGTGTGTGGTTAACGGTGAATGACGGTGGTGTTGCGTGGTGGTGGTGGTGACATTTTCAGATCGGTCTGTGGCTGCTGCGGGGCGCTGCTGATTTGACGGTGAGGTGGTGATTCTGCAGGCTGTAGCCGTGGCTGTGGCGCAGGGGATGATGGCATGGTGGTGATTTAAGGTGTGGTGTATTGGTAGCGACGACGGTGGTTGTATTGGATTGGGGTTAGGGTGGGGCGCGACGACGGCGGCGATAGTGGTGGTTGAGTGGGGTTAGGGTAGGATAGGGTGCGGAGGTGAAGTGGTTTGTGATTAGTTTGGATGATTGTCACCAATAAATAATATGTGACCTGTAAAATAAATAGTTTGTTATTAATAAATAATATGTGACTGATAAGATATATGACAATAAGTAATATGTGACCAATAATTTGTGACATGTAAATATGTAATTGTGACCAAAATCTTGATTTTAATATATTTAATTAAAAAATATTTTTAAATATTTATTTAATTAAAAAAATCAGAATTACCACCTGATTTTTGAAAAGTTGAAAGAAGTTTGTTAACATCTCATTTATGAATTTTTCCCCTAATCAAACCCAACTCTCAACAATAGGCCTCCGTAACTTGCTTCCCTTGTATAATAATTGTGGGCATATAGCCCAAATGAAACTTGAGCGCTTGTACAATGCTCAAGTTCAGGTTCCTTCCCACTCATTGCTTAGAGCTGCTAGTTCGAGTCCAGCTCATACGTATTGGGCCAATCCAGTTAGCATATATCGATTTGCCTATAAATTGTAACAGGATGAGTCCTCTCAAGTTTATATTCTTGCTTAATTGATGGAGGATCTTTGTAGAGATTATTATTCTCAAGTTTATAGGCTTTTGAACCTGTTCTCACTCTCCCGCATTGGCTCGAAAAATTGGCCTCGGTAGAGGACCAACACTACGAGCATGTTTAAGCCCAGTTATTTATTTATTTATTTTGCAAAAAATGTATTTTGAAATAGTGGTTTGATGAGAAATTTGTAGTTGAAAATTTTGGATTTATGTATAATATTATTTAATTGAAGAATGTAGGTTGAAAATAAGATAGAAAAATGTATTTTGAAAATAATGGGGACCAAACAAGGGATGTGTTCATGATATTTAGAATAATACTGGCTCATATTTAAAATATGTATTATACATTTGATGCGAATCAATTAGAAGAGAAAATCTTATATTAATTAGAAAATAGAAGAAATAAGAATGATTTACTAAATGCACATAACATTGAGCTCAGGCGTCGAATATACGTCCATGACTACAATTTGAAAGCATTTTTCGATTTTGCACAATTTTGCTGGGTGACAATGGACCTTTGGCCAATACTGTCAAACTTTCGAGGTCAAATTCCATAGTTTAGGGGTTTGTTTTAGCATGAGTCTATTTTTAATTAATTTAAGGATATTTTCCTCTTTTTCAATTTTTAGTTTTTTTTAAGGATAATTATATTCACACTACAATTTTTATTTTTTATACCGCATTTTAATTGCAGTTAAGCTCTTCAATCTTGCTTATTGTAGCAATTATTTTCTTAATTTTTTTTTATTCGAATTCTTATTTTCAACTTTTTATCAATTAGCACGTCTCATTTTTTATGATAATTTATATTAAAATATTTCGTTTTCATTGTTTGAATTAGGGAAATATATTACTTTTTATTAATTTATCTTTTAAAATAAGATAGAAAAATAAGTTATTTTATGCCATTTCAACGGGCTTTTGGGTATAAAATTATTATCAAATACAAAATGTGTTAATTAATGAAAAAACTGAGGACAAGAATGATATGAAAAATTGTCAGGGATACAAGTATTATAATAAACAAAGATTAAGAACCTTAAATGCAATTAAAATGTGGTGCATGAAATAAAAATTGTGGTGGCAATACAATCATCATATTTTGAATTTATCTACAGAATTAGCAATGTATAATAATTTTCATATTTCAGTTTTTCCCGTTAATTGGTGGATTCCAATACTTGTCACGTCCGTTCGAAAAAATTGAGCAAATACTCGTTCGTGTGTTATTAATAAGAACCTTTTATTATTACTAGTTATCTGCCCGTGCAATGCACGAGTTGTGTATTTTTTAAGGTAATGTTAGTGTGTGTGATTGAAACTTATTGACACTAAAATTACGGACATATAAAAACTATAAAAACTTTAATGTAAGGCAGCATGATTTGTTATAGCATGAGGCAAAAAATCATACTCGCCCAATATCCCTAGCATAGATGACATAAAAATATGTTTCTCATCCTCTGCGACCTGAATCACATTAAATATTGAGGATACAAATCCAAAGAGCAAGGAAAAGAAAAAGAGAATGAGAAGTGAAGGACAAAGTATTGAATGACAGAAAGTGCACTCTATGACAATGGACATGAACATATTTCAAGAAGTTAGATTGAGAGAAAAATCTAAACAGTTTCATAAATTGGCAAAGAAAAAGTCATTTAAACTAAAATTTACGAAAGGATTGGATAATAATTACATAACTACAGAAAAAGTCATTTAAACTAAAATTTACGAAACGATTGGATGATGATTACATAACACAGCATATTCTCCTAATCATTTTATCGGATGACTAGGGGTGGAATGAGATTATTTATCCATTTGATAGACATAATTAACGATACAATCGAACTGGAAAAGAGTAAATGAATATTATGTTCCCAAGCTCGGTCTTACCTAGAATTGTGGGGATATAATTGTTTGCATAATATTCTCAATTAAAATTTTGATACATCCCAAATTTTTGGGGAATGGCATTATTTTCTTCAAATTAGAACATTGAGATGTTTGAAAAATACTCAAAATGATAAACTACACTATAGTGAATACCTTGTTAAACTTTAGATGTGCACGATTTTGAAAATTGGATATCCAATGCAAGGATTCAAAATCTACTAAATATGTTTTACTATTGAAAGTGCAATTATTTTGTGAAAAATCCTTGAAAATTGAAATAAATTAGAGATTTCAATAAAGTTAGAATGAAGCACGATGACTTCAAAGATTTTCTAATTAGTAACAATTTGTGCTTGTTATATGATTTAATCTGGATTACTAGCTACAAGTCACATGGCACAGAATGTAATATATAATGGTAAGTCTTGACATCTGCCATAGACATAATACTATTTGACAGTTTCTCTCAAATTAAACAATGCTAGTTGTTTTATTGAAGGATAACCTAATGGATCCTTTTATAAATCAGTTATCCAGAGAGAATAAATTGTGCATTGAGGAAAATGGGTGCAAAAACATAAACTAATGAGTCAGTTCACTTAGCGACTGGAGATCCCACTGATTAGGTTTAATATGAAAAGTAGTTATGATTGACTTGATGAGAAGCACTTCAGAGTTTTAACTCCTCCCCATTTCTATGATGCAAATAAGTGTAGCGTACAAAAGATTGGTTAGGATAAGTTATGCTTTTAATGATAACTATATCTTGTAAGTACAAGTAGAGTATTGTAGTGATACTCTTTATAGAACATCACATATATAATTGCAAACTTGGCCGATTCAAATGACGATTTTACTTAGGCGAATTCTATAACGCACTCGCAGAACCCAAAAAAGTTCAAGGTCGAAATAATGAACACAATAGAGAACAAAAGTTTGATATGAAAAGTAATGTGTTTGATCTATTGTCTATGCTTGCAATAATGGTCGACAATTCAAAATGCTGTATTCACTTATTAGCCAAGTAAGTATAATAGATTTTTTCTAGAGAAAGTTCAAAGCGAAAGCTATCTATCCTAATGCATTATTTCTCAGTAATACTCTTCTTCGTCTTCCTTGGATATTGTCGACATTGTTGAAACAATTAGAATTGTTTATAGTGTGAATTGGAATATATTTCCGATATGCATCTCTTCAATTGTAAAGAGTCATATTGTTTAAAATGAGGGTGACTTTTAAAAAGATATATAATGAAAAGGTGTATGTTGCATCATTTAATGTGCAAATGTGTGTTATCTGTTAAGAAATGCAACATTTCAATGGAAACGTGTATGCTACACCATTTAACGCGGGAATGTGTGGTATATGCTAAGAAATGCAACATTTCAACAAGTCACTTGAAAATCTATAAATAGAGACCTTTAGTTCTATTTTTTCTACACCAAATCAATTCAAATTATTAATGATTTCTAATTATCTCCTCTCTTCAAAAATTCCATTCCTTATATTTTGTTGAAATAATTTTTGATCGAATTATTTTCAGAAATAAAATTGCGTTCGAATTTTTAATTCATGTCTATTCCATTCAAGAAGAACATTGTCTATACTTTGGTTCGATCAACAAAATTAATGGTGTGATATATTAATTTTGGAAGAAGTATTGTATCTTGAGAGACGGACATCCATTTTATCTTGTTAACCCCAGTGCAGGGGACGAAATCCATGTTAAGGAGATTTACATTCGCATACCGAGCTTCATTTTATCTCTTTTGATTTCATCATTTGCTACATTTGATTAAGTAGTGATTTGTTCATTATTATGCATATACTATGATTTGATAAATCGTTACTCCAGTATTTGCATGCAAGAATTTTTTTATTAACGAAATATAATTCATGCATTGATTTATTTAATACAAACTACAACTTTTGTAGGATTTGCATAGAGGATATGCTTTGATTATATAGTTCAGGTGAAAATATGTTGCATGGATTAAAATAAGAATAGTTCCTATATTAAAATGCTTGATGTTATAAATTAAGTTGGTAAAATATTGATATATAATAAATATAATTCAAATTATTTCAGTTTAATATATTTCGTAACCTGTATTTCTGGTCTTTTTACCTTGATCACTCATTTTGCACAATGAATGTGATTTTTTAAAAACAAAGCAAGCTATGGGCTTAGAATGAACTAAGATTTATGAAAAGCTGAGGGGTGAGTGGTTCAGAGGCGAGCGTGGGCACAAACTTACCTGGAGACCTATGCGAGCTATGAGCCACATCTCATGAATCGAAGATAATATTTGGCAACTATTCCTACATTTCCAAGAGTCAAACTAAAATTAACTATGGCATTCTTGGTTGCACAGATGGTGATATCACTTGATTTCATCCTTATACGATTAGAAATCCCTCTTAAAAAAGGGAAAGAATTTGATTCTTATGGGCGAGACAGAATGGGTCGGCACTACTATTCAAAGGGAAAATTACACAAAATCTTACCATTAAACTTTCAAATTCAAACATAAGGTATAAAACTATTTTTTTCAAGAATCAGGAGAAAAATTAAATTTATAATAGTTATAAAATTAAATATATCTAACCCATATACTATCCACCCACAACAATTTCAAATTCAAACCCTAATCTCCCTCTTCTCCCTATCCCTCTCCCTTATCTCCTCCCTCTCTTACCATCAACGGAGGACCACCGCTCTGCCAAGAGAGCTCGTCGGTAGAAGAGCACCACAATGCTCACGGCCATGTTGTCTTGCCCAACGTCGCCTGCAAGTAGTGCTGCTGCGTACAGCGGCCATAGCATAGCTCTGTCTACAGGAAACTCTGGTCGACGCTGTGTAGCAGGCATGTGTGCATCGTTGTGTATAGAGATGGAGTTGCCTAGATCTATACACATCGCACAGAGCCGATCTGTAGCTGCTACAACTCCAGTCGCGGTCAGATCCAAATCTACGTGTATAGTGATGTGCGACGTGGTGGTGGTGGAAGCGCCGCATTGGTGTTGATGGTGGTGACGCCGTGAGAAAGTGGCTACGGATTTGTGTTTATTTCATGATAGCACGGTTAATGGTGAATGACGGTGGTGTTGCATGGTGGTGGTGGTGACCTTTTCAGATCGGTCTGTGGCTGCTACGGGGCGCTGCTGATTTGACGGTGAGGTGGTGATTCTACAGGCTGTAGCCGTGGCTGTGGCGCAGGGAATGATGGCGTGGCGGTGATTTAAGGTGTGGTGTACTGGTAGAGACAACGATGGTTGTAGTGGATTGGGGTTAGGGTGGGGCGCGACGAAGGCGGTGGTTGTGGCGGCGGCGACGGCGGTGGTTGAGTGGGGTTAGGGTAGGATAAGGTGCGGAGGTGAAGTGGTTTGTGATCAATTTGGATGATTGTCACCAATAAATAATATGTGACCTATAAAATAAATAATTTGTTATTAATAAATAATATGTGACTGATAAAATATATGACAATAAGTAATATGTGACCAATAATTTGTGACATGTAAATATGTAATTGTGACCAAAATCTTGATTTTAATATATTTAATTAAAAAATATTTTAAATTATTTATTTAATTTAAAAAACAAGAATTACCACCTGATTTTTGAAAAGTTGAAAGAAGTTTGTTAACATCTCATTTATGAATTTTCCCCCTAATCAAACCCAACTCTCGACAATAGGCCTCCGTAACTTGCTTCCCTAGTATAATAATTGGGGAAAAATTCACTTTCCCTACTTTATCTTTACCCTATTTCAAAAATAACAAAACAACTTTTACATTTCAAAAATCAGATTTTTTGACCTATATATACACACATTTATAAATATTTATTTATTTATTTAAATATATAAAAAGATATAAATAAATAAATAAATA